TTGAATTTTCGAATCGCAGTAAAGAACTATATTTACCCAAAATTTGTTTTTTGACGGAAAAACGAAATTCCAATTATAAATATTTTATTTCTGTAATATTTGTCGTTCTGACTGAATTATTAAAAATTGTCAGAATGAAATATTTCGGATTATTTCTATTTTTCTTTCTTCTTTTCCCATTTTTCTGATATTTTCTCAATTTTCTCATATTTTCCGAAGGATCAAGTTTATCTGCATGATCCGGTCGATCCTCGACCCTTTTACTCCGTGACGAGACTATTTTCCTTCGAATCACCGATCTCTAGGCCGGTTGTAACTTACACGGGTTCGCACTTAAATTTCCTTTTTCCATGAAACCGCGATCGATGTTCATAACCTTCGCCTCGAAGACCAGGAGTCTATTTCGAAGCTAAATTTCTGCTACTCGGCATCGAGTTACGTAATTTTTCCCGAGATTCCATTCGTAGCAAGTTCGGCCGATCTTCCGAAACTTCCGTTAGACGTTTAGGCGAAACTTTGGGAAAGTTCAATTATTTTAACTGGAAGTTGGCTACCTTCGTAACTCTGAAAAGTGAATCTTATCGGAATGACTGTTTCGAGTGTGATTCCTCTTCTTCTTCGATTTCTGATTTTAATAATTTTAATTATGTAAGGAATATTTATTACAATAGCCTAATTACAGTACCCTAATTACAATACTCTAATTACAATACCCTTGTTACAATACTCTAATTACAATATCCCTGTTACAATATCTTAATCACAATACACTTATTACAATACCCTTATTGCAATAATTTAATTATTATTCCCTCATTACAATAGCCTAATTGCAATATACTAATTACAATACCCTTACTACAGTACGCTTATTACAGTACCTTAATCACAATACCCTTATTGCAATAACCTAATTATTATTCCTTCACCACAATAGCCTAATTGCAATACACTAATTACAATGCACTTATTACAATACCCTAATTATAATACGCTTATTACAGTACCTTAATCACAATACCCTTATTGCAATAGCCTAATTATTATTCCTTCACCACAATAGCCTAATTGCAATACACTAATTACAATACTCTTATTACAATACCCTAATCACAATCCCTTGTTACAATACCCTAAGCACAATACCCTTATTACAATAGCCTAATTATAATTCCGACACTACAATAACCTAATTACAATACCCTTATTACAATACCCTTGTTACAATACCCTAATCACAATACCCTTGTTACAATACCCTAATCACAATACCCTTATTACAATAGCCTAATTATAATTCCCTCATTACAATAACCTAATTACAATACCCTTATTACAATACCCTTGTTACAATACCCTAACCACAATACCCTTGTTACAATACCCTAATCACAATACCCTTATTACAATACCCTTATTGCAATACCTTTATTGCAATAACCTAATTATAATTCCCTTACTGCTATAGTCTAATCACAATACCCTAATTACAGTACCGTAATTATAATACTCATATTACAATACCCATATTACAATATCTAACGTGTTATCAGGAAAATTGTATTTGCGACGAGAGGAATAATAAATTCGAAAATTGGATAAAGAGGGGTAATTGTTTTGCTGGAAATTGCACGAAAGAAATACGAAGAATTAAATTCTCAACGGAGACCAATTTCCCGGATTACGTTTGATTTTAATACCCATTGCGAACTCGTGACGTGCTCAGTTTCCAATTTCATTTGAACTGTCTATTGAATTCGAATTAAACTCAATTTTATTTCAAAATTGGATTTCGTTCGTTAGACGCAGGGGTTTATTCCTTTAACGCATCGCGATGTGTAATTATTTTGACTACGTGGACGCAAGCTAATCGGAGTAATTGTACTCGGTAACATGCTTCTGCTCTGCCTTCTTTATCCGAAGAAAGTCGGACTTTTCACCTGACAATCGTAAGTGCGCCGCTTAATCGTTCTCGCTTAATCAGAAACTTTCTCGCTGAAATTTTCTTCCTTTTCCAATTACAGCAACCGAAGAGCGTACATCTCTTTTATTTTCCACGTTTCTCGGGATTAAATACACATTTCCGTCGTGAATATTTCAAAAAATATTTAAAATAGTAGTCCCTGAAACGGATTTGAAATAAATGCCTCCCCTTTTGAACCTTGTTTCGGAATATCGTTGCAGGCTCTGTCACTGACAGAATATGTGAATTAAATAAATGGAAGGATATTTACAGATCGAAAAATGTATAGAGAATATATCGTACAACGATGGTAGGGAAATGTTATCGATTCTACTAATAAATTTTATTTATTCGCAATACCCCAAATACTATTGCTTAATGCAAATAATTTTGCGTGGCATTCTTTAAAATACAATGCAAATAAAAATATCAGAAATTATTACAAAATTCAACTTACACGAAATTAAACACAAAAACACGGAAATATTAATCTCAAAAATTTTCACTATCGTGTCACATATATATATATACACACACACACATACACAAAATATTATTCACGCGAACACAAGACGGAAAATTAAAGTCAAAATCAGTGAAACTTCAATTACTTGTAAACCGAAAATAGGCGTCTTTACTATTCTCCAATAACGCGTAGATTTTAATAAACATCCTAAATACTATTATTCGAAGCTAATAATTTTGCGTGGCATTGTGCAAAATGCAATGCAAATAAAAATATCAGGAAATATTGCAAAATTCAATTTACACGAAATTAAACACGAAAATACGAAATTATAAATCTCAATAGATTTCACTATAGTGTCACATACACGTGCGTACACGCGATATTATTCACGTGAACACAAGACGGAAAATTAAAGTCAAAATCAGTGAAACTTCAATTACTTGTAAACCGAAAATAGGCGTCTTTACTATTCTCCAATAACACGTAGATTTTAATAAACATCCTAAATACTATTATTCAAAGCTAATAATTTTGCGTGGCATTGTGCAAAATGCAATGCAAATAAAAATGTCAGGAAATATTGCAAAATTCAATTTACACGAAATTAAACACGAAAATACGAAATTATAAATCTCAATAGATTTCACTATAGTGTCACATACACGTGCGTACACGCGATATTATTCACGTGAACACAAGACGGGAAATTATAAATCAAAATCAGTGAAACTTTAATTTCAGGAATTCACGCTGACCCCTGAACTCGTAAACCGAAGACAGGCGTCTTTACTATTCTCTAATAACGCGTAGATTTTAATAAACACCCCTTTATGTACGACTCGTTACGAGCGTACCGTGCACATCCACCCCCGTCTGGTTTTAATCTTCGCGGTGTAGTGAATATACCGGTATACATGCACGGAATTGGTAAGCCTCGGGAGAAAAGTGATCCGCAGAAGATGGCGCAAGGGAGTTGAGCGTGGAACGCGTGGGGTATCACGAGGTCGTCGGGGGTTATAAATTTTTACGAGGGTAAGTTGGATCGCCCGCGTTAAGACGTTACCGGGGAGAAAATTAACGGCCGGACTTGGAATAAACGAAGTGCCACTTGGTTACAGTCGCTTTCGTTTGGCCGAGGGACCCTGGGTCTTGGCTAAATTTCTGAAGGCAAGTGGATGCAAATGAGTCGTGATTAGAGGGGTGAAATTGGGTTTCAAAGGGATTTTTCTTTTCTTATTTTGAGTCACGAATCAAACGTCACTACTGTCGCTTTTGTTTGAAAAATAAAGAAATCACGAGCCTTGCATAAATTTTTATAAATTTCGTGTCGCTAAGTGTATGCAAATGAGTCGTGATTAGAGGGGTGGAATTGGGTTTTAAAGGGATTTTTCTTTTCTTATTTTGTGTCACAAATCGAAAGTCGTCATTGTCGCTTTTGTTTGAAAAATAATGGAACTTCGAACCTTGGATAAATTTTTATCAAGTTCGTGTCGCTAAGTGTATGCAAATGAGTCGTGATTAGACGGGTAAAATTTGGATTTCAAAGTGATTTTTCTTTTCTTATTTTGCGTCGCGAATCGGAAGTCACTACTATCGCTTTTATTTGAAAAATAAAGGAACCACGAACCTTGGATAAATTTTTATAAATTTCGTGTCGCTAAGTGTATGCAAATGAGTCGTGATTAGACGGGTAAAATTTGGATTTCAAAGTGATTTTTCTTTTCTTATTTTGCGTCGCGAATCGGAAGTCACTACTATCGCTTTTATTTGAAAAATAAAGGAACCACGAACCTTGGATAAATTTTTATAAATTTCGTGTCGCTAAGTGTATGCAAATGAGTCGTGATTAGAGGGGTGGAATTGGGTTTTAAAGGGATTTTTCTTTTCTTATTTTGTGTCACAAATCGAAAGTCGTCATTGTCGCTTTTGTTTGAAAAATAATGGAACTTCGAACCTTGGATAAATTTTTATCAAGTTCGTGTCGCTAAGTGTATGCAAATGAGTCGTGATTAGACGGGTAAAATTTGGATTTCAAAGTGATTTTTCTTTTCTTATTTTGCGTCGCGAATCGAAAGTCACTATTGTCGCTTTTGTTTGAAAAATAAAGAAATCACAAACCTTGGATAAATTTTTATAAATTTCGTGTCGCTAAGTGTATGCAAATGAGTCTTGATTAAAGGGATGAAATTGGATTTCGAAGGGATGTTTTATTCTTGGTAGTAGATCGTAAGATTCGTAACTCCTATATTTTTCGAATAAATTTTGAAAATTTTGAAAATACACGAGTGTTTTAAAATCGCTGATTTGTTAAATTATTACGATTTATTATTAACCTAAAATTTATCCAGACACGATTCATTTGAAAATAATATGCTTGAATGAAAGTTTCATATTATTCTCTTTCCATTAGACTAATTTCTCACACAATGTCCTGAATTTACTGTACGACATAACCGAGAAACAAATTTCTGAGAAACAGATATCGTTTTCAGATATTCGAGCGTAAATTTCGGTTATTTTCCACGATCGTATAAAAATAATTGGAAAATCGTTGTATTATTGTTTCAGAAATGGCATCAAGGCTTGGAAAAAGCTGCACAGAGATGGGCCGATAAATGCCTTGGACTGGTGCACGACAATGCAACTGGCCTACATTTGGATGGTCTCGGGCATAGTGGACAAAATATCTTCATTTCAACGGAGAGGATGCTTTGGTAAGTGCTATAGTATTTATTTCTACTGGAATTTATTAGCAAATTCAGAAAAGCAACTTAATGATATCTTCCAGGCTTAATATTTCTATTTCTATGCTAAATAAAATTAAATAATTTATCCTTTTAATTTTTATAACAATTAAATTCTTAATTAACTTCATTTCTGGATATTTCGCGTTATAGAAGCTGTAATATGACAAATAATTGATAAAATTTTTATATCAATTTATCAATATTTTTTATCAATTATTATAATATTAATATTATTATTATATTATTAATGAAAATTCTTTTTAATACGAACAGTCGTTTAATATTGAAATATTCCTAGTTTTTGGGTAAAATTATATATTGCATTATGGGCAATCATATGCATATCAGCTTAAGTTAATCCTTCACGTTTCTCGACGAGAACAAAGGACAGGATGAAATTCATGAAAATATTACAAGTATCGAGTTACGTTATCGAATTTTAAGGTAATCAAGTTTCCGAGGAAAAGAGATGCCGCAGCGTCTTGTACCTTTGAATTTATTTTAAGGTTCGTTTGAAGATGGCCAAGACCGTGGAGTTTCAGTGGAATAGCCCGTTATCGTTCAGACAGAAATGTTTCCGACGATTTAGGGTTAAAATGAATCAGCAAGCATGTCAGACGTTTAACCAATATTCGTCGATCTATTTTTCTGAATCGAAAGGATGCGACTATATGTAGGTTATGAATATTTTTGTAACGTTCCTTTTTAATACACTTATTCAAATGTAATTTTGATAGGAATATCCTAATTATGTCTGTGGTATGTAGATTATATTAGTTTTATTAGGGACTTTTCAGTTTTGATATAAGCGAATCTTCAAATTTTTAAATCTTCGAGTCTTCGAACTTCCAAATTTCCAAATTTCAAATTTCCTAGATTTCGAGTTCTCAAATTTCCGAATTTTCAAATCCTAAATTTTTAAGTTTTCAAGTTTCTAAACTTCCGAATTTAAAAATTTCCGAGTTTTCAAATTACCGAATTCTCAAATTTCCGAATTTTCAAATCCCAAGGTTTCAGGTTTCTTAACTTCCGAATATTTTAATTTCTGAGTTTACAAATTAACGAATTCTCAAATTTTCGAATTTTCAAGTCCCAAATTCTCAAATTTTCGAATACAAAATTTTCAAGTTTCTAAGTTTCTAAATTTCCGAATTTTCAAGCTCACAAGTTTCTAAACTTCCAAATTTTTAAATTTCCGAGTTTTCAAATTACTGAATTCTCAAATTTCCGCATTTTCAAATCCCAAATTTTTAAATTTCCAAGTTTCTAAACTATCGAATGTTTAAATTTCCTAGTTTTCAAATTACCGAACTCTCAAATTTCCGAATTCCTAAATTCTACAATTTTTAAACTTCCAAATTCTCGAATTTTTAAATTTTCGAATTCCCAAATTCTTGAATTTTCAATTTCCCGAACTTTCAAGCACCCGAACTTCCGAATTTCTTAATTTTCAAATTTCTTATTTTCCAAACATTCCAATTTTTACAATAATCTTCTAACATACACACACCCCAATACCGTCTCCTGCAAATTCCCCATCTCGACTCTCCATTCCATACCCCAGCTGCCAAATTCGCAAGTGCCACCGCGATATCGCGAAATTCCGGAACTCGTGCATACGCGAAATCGCTAAAAGCATGACAATATCTTATTCCGGGGTTGACAAACTTTCCTCTAGCGAAAGCTCGTGGGTCTTAAAATTCTTTATTATTCAAATTGACATCGAAGAATCTTCTTTCGCGGGTTGCACGCGTAGTGTATTCGCGTTCCCCAAAGGAAGATATTCCCGCTGTAGGGGATGATTGTCTCCGCGGTGCTGAAGTAACCGCAGAATTCTGCTGCACAGAGCATACAATTTCGAGCATCGGAGAACACCAAGAGAACCGGATCCTTATTTCCCTGCAATTGTCAGCTCGATCCGTTTCAATTAATTCGTTAACTGATATCGCTGCTAGCTAAGGATCTATTCGCGCGATGTTGTCACAGAATACTTCAAACACGGGTAATTTAGTGTTTAACTGTTGCACGAAACCTTGGAATATTCCAATTCGTTTGTCCCTAATAAAATATATTTTCTAGGGATATATTTTCTAGGGAATATATTTTATAAGGATGAATAAGCTGCACTGTGAAATTATACAATAAGATGGTTACTTGATGACGATGTAATAATTTTTTAATTAATATCCATTGATTAGACCAATTTTATTACAGGAAGGATATCACGTGATTTTGTAATTCTTGAATTTATATCGATAATTAACCTAGTGATTTTTGAGCTGCATTTTATTATAGTTTCAAAATTTCAGTAGTAGAGTTTGATATCGGGTGAACAGGGGAACTGTTACTTATGTAAGCACTGGAATAATTGTTTAATGGTGATATGATATAATTTTGTAACGTAATATTCATGGACTGGTGAGATTTTACTGGAACAGAGATATTGAATTACTTTATAATTTTGGATTGACTTGCACGTGTATTTGAAATTCGATATTAAATGATTTTATAATTTTTGGTTTATTTGTTAGTTTTTTAAGTTAAATATTAGGCGAGTTTGTTATTTTTAATTTATTTCTTTGATTCAGTTGATTTGGAATTAGATTATACTCCAGTTTCGAAATTTCAGTAGAAAAGAACTGGTATTTGTCAGACAGTTTTCTTCTTTATCATAGATTTATTCGTTAATTGGATTTTTAAAAATTCTTTCTAATATTTTTATTTTTCTTTTATCTTAAATTTGTTATTATTAAATATCTTGTTAAATATTTTTATTTATTTTGAAAATTTGTTTTCACTTTTAAGGAAATAATACGACTCTGAACGGTTAATTCCACTAATGCAAAGATGGCGACTGGAAATATTGCGAATCATCGTGTTAATTCGCGTAGCTTCAGAGCAAATGAGTTTTCTTTGGAATGAGCCATTAGCGTTTCCAGCATTAGAATTTACTCCACGATTCGTTTAAACGTAACAAGCGGCAGGAAGTTTCAGTAGAAAGATCAGTCATAGGTCAGTCGACGTGTCTAATTCGGAGATAAAATTCATCGCAAAGCTCAAGTCCGACATACTTGTTCTACGGAAGCTTTTCTTACATTTTCAATCGTGTAATATTAAAAATTAGCAATTCCATGAATTTCGCAATTTTTCTGACGTTAATACCAGTTTCCTCATGATTAGTATTTGCAATAATAATACCTATCGTCATTATTATCAATTATCATATTTTCGTTATAATTTTTAAGTTAATATTTCAAAACCTACATTTATGTAAAATTTCGTCCTGTCTCTATCTTTAATATTATAATCTTCCTACTGCAAGACTATCATTAAATAATTAAAATTCTAAAATTCTAAAATTAAAATTCTAAAATTATTCTAGCCTTGTGAACGAGACTTTTGTGAGTTCAAAAATCCATTTTCCAAGCAAACTAAAAGAATATTTGCAATTGTGTAATATTTAAAAAATTAAATAAGAAGAACAATAATTATAATAATAATTAAATAATAATTGAAATTATTAATAAAAATATTAATAATAATTAAAATTCTGTCGATATCGTGAATTATTAGTCTGATATAATTTCAAATTTTTGTTATACCTTCCAAATAAACATTCGTGGATTTACACGTATATAAAATTTCGCCCTGTCCCTCATTTCAATATTACCATCCTCCCCCAGCAGGACTATTATTTCATAACACATTTCGCAATTAAAATTCCAAAATTATCGTAACTTTTATAAAATCAGAAATTTCTTTTTCTCGAATAAAAATTATAAAGAAAATAGAAGGAAACTCTGATGCTATTTCAGCATCGTTCACGAGTAACCGTGCAACACACTGCAGAATACGGCGAGTAGAGCAGCCTGTTATTGTTCAGACGCGAAAGTTCCGCGGCCGATTCGAAGTTGCGATTCACGGGCATTGTTCTATTTCTGCCTAACGATAACTTGCTTTCGTACTCGTCGCTCTCCTCGGGGAGCCACCTGTTGATGTTCAGCGAACAATTGTCACCGATGTCACTTGCACGTTCTCCTTTGCCGCGGCCAATTCCAAATGGAACCGTCGCCGCGGGTCTGTCGTATTTTTAATTGACTCGATTCCCTTCCTCAGGGCTGAAAAGCCTTTCAGACGCCCCGAGCTTCTTTCGATTCGCGCTGCGACAAAGAAACCGTGTTCCGGCTCCACTGCGAGTGTACAATGGCGGCACAGAGAATGCGAGAACGAGATAACGTAAACGTAAATTCGTTAATCAACATCGATAGGGAAATTAATTATTTCTATGGGACAAGCTGAAATTCTCTTTCTTTTCTTTTTTCCTTTTTTGGGGCGAGAGAATATTGTTTCAAAAATTAAATTTAGGAGAGCAAAGGGATGGCATTGTGACATTAATCGTTATCAATATTAAATTAATATTAATAATTTTGATAAAATCATTATCGATGAAGAATATTTAATTTCGACAGCTAACACGAATAAATTTTACACGATTAAAAATTATTTTAACAAACGATTCTGTTTAAATAAAAATTTACGTTTACCTAGCGATTTGAGAAAGAAAAATTTACAAATAATCGTGACTTTTATTGATCGCTCTTGAAACCATAATTTTTTCTGTCATAAATGTCCAGCGATTATAGAAGCTTGAAATATCATAAGCGTTTTATAATAATTTCATAAATTTGTGAAATATGATCGTTTCGAGACAGGTAAAATTGGATTACGATTAATCGCGACGAATCGTTCGATTTCCAGGAATTTCCCAATCAGAGTGTGGTACAGGGAGTACAAAGACTTCAAATACGGCAATAAGAAGGCAAACAACTTTCGCAAGATCGGCCATTACGTTCAAGTCGTGTGGGCCGCCACGCATCTGGTTGGCTGCGGCGTTAGTCATTGCACTGGTGGCAAAGGCCCATTCGGGTCTAGAGACTTCGTCATGTACGTCTGCAACTATGCTCCGGGGTAAGTGGATACTTTCAATTTTAACGATTGGCCTAATCGCGATCGTGAACCTCCGTCTCGAGAGCTTCGTTATTAATTAATTCAAAGGATAATATCTAGACACGAGAGGTATAATAAAATATTCCGTCATCAACGTATCATGCGAAAGAGCAATTTCAGAAGACGAATCTCGCTATTCAAAATTAGACACAAAATTTACAAGTTATAAATTTTGCAATACCGAAGAGATAATATTCGTATTTAAATGTAAATTTGATTCCGCTAAATGTGGAATATTTTTCTAGCAAAATGCACAATTTACTATTTATCAGAAAACCATGAAAGATGTAACGCGTCAAAAACGTGAAATAATTAGAAAAAATATTTTTGAAAAATAAAATATGGACAGACATAAAATTCAAAGTTCCATTCGAGATAAGAGGATACAAAATACAAGATATTCAACAAAAGGCTCCTCGCAATTTCTCCCCAACACCACTTCAAATGTAACAAAACACTCCTACGTGATACGCATACGTAAACATAATCCAACATAATTCCAAAGAAAATATTCCAAATTTCCAAAACGTAACTCATACCAACAGTTCTTAACCTGTGATACGTGAGCTGGACCAAATCATAGGATATTTTAGAGTTACACACAGTAGAGTCTATAGACACAAGCTACAAAGTTGTAGTTATGAATAAATGATACCTATTTACAAAATTTGGATGATGGTACGTAACAAAAGAAGGCAGAGAACCACTAACTAATATTAACACGTTGACTGCCACGATGGTCAACAGTGATCGGCGATGGCCTCCTCAGTGGAGCCATGGTGGTCACCAATGTTCAGCGATTATTTCAAAAATTTATATTAATAACTAATTTTTTAAATTTATATTAATAACTAATCTTTAAAATTTATATTTGCTTTATTCCAACCAATTTTTTAATATTTTAACAACGCAAATAACTAGAGAATTTCGAATAGAAAACATTAATAATTTGCATCATTCTTTTGATAATTCGTCATTATATCTTAATAATAATGGAAATTTTATCGTGGCCCCCTGAAGGTACTATTTTTATGTAGTGCATGGCAGTGAAAGTGTTAAACATTCAAAAATTTCAAGTTACGAATTACAAATTGCCATAAAAATCGAAGATCCATCATCAAGTGAAAGATCTGTGTCAAACATTAGCACACCTTGAACTTGAAATTCATCTAGTGACGAAAATGACAATAATACCGTCACAATCCCGAGCTGTCAGCTGTCACGCTATCTGTTTCTCTCGTTGACAGCACTTTGCCACACAAGTGGCGCGAAATTCAAATCTGGCGTGCATTTTGGAACACCTTTAAACTCTTATCAATAAATAATTAACATTTTTATTATCACCCATTAATTTTTATATTACTTTTAATCTATCGTCATCGGTAAATGAATTAAATAAATTAATTACCACCAATCTCTACACGATGTTCACAGGAATTTATTTATTTTATCAATCAGCTGCATCATTTGCTTCCCAATAAATTCCCCTGTTCGAACGAGAACGATTCCATCTAACCCCGCGATAAACAAAGACCTCGTGCCTCCCGGTATCTCGTTCAATTTTTCCACCTCTCATGGCCGAACGGATAATTGATCGGATCGTTCCGGCTGAAATTCACGGTGACGTTAATAGGTCCGGTGCAAAGGCGACTGCTAGAGAGAACCACTTGTCAGGGAACAAAAGCACGTAGGAAGCGAACAACGAAAGCGACACAATGCGGAGCAACAACAAAGCTCGAGTGCCTCGCGTGTTCTGTCTTCCAGCTCCAAGCCGTTGCTCTTTCTCTCTCTCTCTCTCTCTCTCTCTCTCTCTCTCTCTCTCTCTCTCTCTCTCTCTCTCTCTTTCTCTGTGTTTGTGTGTGTGTGTGTGTGTTTGCTTCCTCCTCTCTCTCTTCTTTTGTCAGTTTCTCTCTTCGTCACGTGTTTCTTCCTCACTCTCTCTCCCTCAATTTTCAGTTTTGTATCTGTTTTTCTCTGTCTCTCTTCCTCTTTCTACGAATGTTCCTCTGTCCCTCTTCCTCTTTCTACGAATGTTCCTCTGTCTCTCTTCCTCTTTCTACGAATGTTCCTCTGTCTCTCTTCCTCTTTCTACGAATGTTCCTCTGTCTCTCTTCCTCTTTCTACGAATGTTCCTCTGTCTCT